AGCTCAAAGGATCCCAAAGCACTTTAGAGACTATAGAGATATGTAGTGACATATATATCTATGTACAAGAATCACTTTACCCTCCACAGAGGTGCATCCACCTCTGGGGTGGAATGTGATTGCTGTTTAACAGCAGAGTAACAACACTACACTACAGTTTAAGACAAGAGGCCAACGATAAAATTGAAAAGCATTTGCATGATTTAGACATAGAGGATGAGTTTAAGACTAACACGATTGCCATAGTCTATTGTGTAATCTTTTAGCATGTGTTTGAATTTCCCATATTTTTTGTTATTTTATGTTTGCACGTGGCATGGAGCCAGTTTACCTGATAATCTGATTTAAAAGCTTTATTGTGTTACGTACTGTGCTGATTTCAATGGAACAATCTCTGGGTCCTGTTACTTCCCATTAGCTCACATAATCAGCTTCACATCCAGCAAAGAGATAATGGATTAGGATAGTTGCTAATAGTGTTTTCTCTGCATTACTGAGCTTCTTTCAATACTGAGCAAAGAACTGGGTGAAATGATGGCTGTTTTTCATGGCAAGCAATGGACGTTCCATGGCTGGAGTCGTTCTGGACTAGAATGGGCTAGAATGTACTGCAGGAAACAATTCTGTACTAGGGAGTGGATGAATGAGATGACTCATTGGCTCTTTTCCATTTCTAAAGCTTGATTTTGTATTTGGAAAGATCAGCGAATGCAATTAGCTACATAATGTGCTGCTTTCCTAGGTTATTGCCATTAAAACGGTGTGTGCTACATTTAAATGGAAACTGGCATGAATGATAATAATCAATAATAACCCACGTATATAGTGTTTTTCCTCTTCAGAGCACTTTTTCAAACTTTAGCTGAGTCATGGTCCTGACATCCTTGTGAGATAGGTAAGATTATCCTCATGGCATAGATTTGGGGAATTGAGGCAGAAAGGTTAAGTGATAAGCCCTTGGTCCCAGAGGGAATCAGTATCAGAGTAAGAACCAGAACACAGGAGGATCCTGTCTCCCAGATCTGAATGTAGACGCCTAGGCCAAGGGAAGAAGCATCTTTCAGTAAAGTATGCGGCATCTTATGTTATTCTGGAAAATTAACATGTTATGTACCAAGAGAGGTGGGGGGGAGCCAGCTTTCTGGAGACAGAGAATATGGGACTGGCCCGATACCTCTGGGCAGCAAACTGGGAATGCGTATTGCAGTTATGCCCTCCGTCTCCACATACTGGTAGACAGTGCCACGCGGCTGGCAGTGTTACTGCCTCAGAGGGGAGGAAGGGCTGGCATGCTCTGATTCCCTAGGAGTCCTCTTGCAAAAGGCCTTTCTTTCTTGATCTGTGGGAGGTCTGGTGGCTGCTCGGGGACTTTCCTGCTGGCGTTTTGGGATGACAGCCAGGTAGGGAGGACTGGACAACAAGGGTTTTTGCAGTGGCTTTTTCCATATAATTAAAGGGTTTGCTTTCCAGATCTGTTGCGTTCCCTGGATGTGGTGTGGACAGCTTGGGGGGCATTCCCTTTCCTCAGTGTCTGTCTGTGACTCAAGGCTGGACAGTGCACTGTAAGGTTCTGATCAGCCAGCTTTTAATCTTCAGTTCTTGCCTGGTATCTTTCCCCCTCCAAATGTCACAAGGGAGGGATGGGGTTTTTTTTGCCCTTCTATCCTTTTTTAAATATTGGTGACTCATTGTCGCTTCTAATGCCAGGTTCTAAAGGGACAAGGATGGTCAAAGTAGAGCAGACACATGACAAGATGGGGATGGAATTCAGGTGAGACTGGGCCAAGCTGGATGGGTGGGAGGGTTTCGTAGGCTCAGTGTTTTGCTTGTCTTAACACATGACATCAAAGCCCTTGACATCATGGAAAGGACTCAGGTGCAGAAAGAAACTCCCTTTCAGTGTAGAGGGAGCTAATCTTCAAAGACACAAGTGAGGAGAAGGACTGTCTTGAGGTGAAGGCACAAGTGCTGGGATTCAGGAGACTGGGGGGGCTCAGTTCCTAGTTCTGCCACTGACTTCCCGTGTAGCCTTGGGAAAGTCACTTTCTCTCTCCCTGACTCAGTGCCCTGGCAGTAAAATGGGAATAATAATGCTTCCTTTGTGTGTCTGTCTTGTCTATTTAGATGCTCAGCACTATGGTCAGGGGTTGTCTCTTCCTTGCTGCACATACAGCATCTAGCATGACTGGGTCTTGATCTCAGCTGAGACCTCTAGGTGGTACTGTAATAATAATAATGGCCTGGTGGCAGCCATCAAAGTCAGTGGAAATCAAGCAGCTGAAAAACCCTGCATGACCTCTTTGGAAATTCACCCTGGACAGCCTCCAGAAATGGTTGAGCTCTCCGGACTCACGCTTTAAAAGAATTATTTTCTTTCTTTTCTTTGGGATTCCTCCATCCTGCCACCTAGCAGCCCCTTTTCTCTCCCTATCCCAGCACTGATCCATTCCCTTCAGCTGCATCCCCTGTGTCCAGCTCCCTCCTTAGCTCTTTACTGCAAGTTCCTTAACCTTTTCGAGTTTCTTTCCAAGAGATAGATTCTTTGCAGCTGCCCAAACTCTGGTCAAGGACAAATTTTTGCGGGAGGGGAAGAGCGGGATCTGGAGAAATCTCTTTAGGTTCTGCTCCCAAACTTGTTTGCAGAGATGCACATGCCCAGTCCAGCTCTTTTCTTGGGCCAAGAGAACTGTACGGCGACTCCTCTCACAACTAATGCTTGCTTTGTTCCTCAGTTGAGTTCCAGAGGCCTGAGTCCCCACTGGCCATGCCAGTGAAAGGGTTAAGTCAAAGAGAACCCAGGCTTCCTACATGACAGCAGATGCTCATGCTACCATAGGTCAATATTCCTTTCGATTTTGAAGCCTAGTGATCCTCACAGCTCCCCAAATCTCAGTGTTTTAATTCCCCATCCCAGCGCTGAGAACAATAGACTTACAGTGCCTCCCTTCTTCCCTGTTTGTGTCTGCAGCTGTGCAGGAGGAGAGGCAGCGAGGGAAGGACCGAAACGAGAACGAGGTGGAGTCGACAAGTAGCGCCAATGAGGACATGCCCGTGGAGAAGATCCTGGAAGCCGAACTCGCAGTGGAGCCAAAGACAGAGACGTACATTGAGGCAAATATGGGCTTGACTCCTAGCTCGGTAAGGATGCCTGCCCCTTTCCCATGTGCGCTAACACCATCCCGTTTGTGGGAATGCAATGGAGCGAATAGGTGGTAAGGCCTTGAATGCTGTCACTCCATGACTATGCAGACAAGCATGGTTAAGGGGAAGGGGGGCCCTTGGGATCTCAGGAAAGCTGAGTTCTAGTCCCATCTCTGCCACACCCTGTGTAACCTTGGATAAAATGTTTGATTGCCCTGTGCCTCGGTTTCCCCATCTATAAAATGGGAATAACACTTCCTTTCCTCCTAGAAGTGTAGTGAAGATAAAACCATTGCACCTCTGGGAGGTGCTCAGGTGCTAGTGATGAGGTGCAGTTGGGAGGGTGCATAGAAATTATCTGTATTGTGGGAACACAGCCGGTTATGCTGGACACTATATAAACAGTGGAGTAAAAGCCTTGCCTTGAAAAACTTGCAATCAACTTAAGCCTATAAACACACCCATTATCACTAAAATGCAAAAGTATTACAGCGGGAAAACTGAGCTGTAGGTTTTTAAATACCACAAACTTGAGAATTGTTTGGATCCATTGTAAAATGTATATATCTGGATGAGGGTTTGGACTTCAAACCCACTCAGTGTTCTGAGGTGTTTGGATCCAGAGTTGTGGTTCAGCCCCTTTTAAAGGTTTGGACTCTAGTGGTATCCTTTTTAAACAGCAGATGCCGCATAAATATCCCTCATCTGGCCCCACCACGCCCATTAATGAGCCCTGTTTTGTAAAGAGCATTTTTTTTTCCATGTAGGTAGCTGTTCTCAGCTATAACAACTCTGGCCTCATAGTCTATGAACTCCTGCTCCTCTGAGAATAGATGCCATATTAGGGGAGGTCACCACCCAGTTTGAGCAAATTTATAATGCATGAGGCTCAGTGGGTGTGGCTAGTGACTCCACCCCAAAACCCTCCCCTTGGTTCTAACCAGGGGAACACTGGGATGCTGGAGGACTGGGAAGTCTCTTAAGTGGAAACAACTGGTTGGGGGGAGGGGAGAAATAGTTGTTGTCATTTAAAATGGGAGCACCTAGCCTGAATGGGTTTTTCCTTGGGGGAGGGGATAAGGGCCTTATAAAGTCCAAAGTCCAATTCAGGGTCTTGCTGGTAGTGGGGTGGGAAGTATAGATTTCTTATGTCTCGATGCAGCAAAGCTCACAGGGTGATTTCTGATTATTAGTATTTAACCTGAGTGACAAATTAGAGATATTTGCTATAATGAATTGTAGTTATGTTACTCCCAATGCCAAACATTCAAAAGTTATGTATCATGCCCCCAAAATCATATGATTTTTTTAAAGTAAACTAATAAATGTGGGTTTTTTTTATTTTTTGAGCCTTTTAAGTAAACTTGGGTCACACATTTCTAGCTTTTCTTTGTAATTATCAGGGCTACAAACTTGTGTGCTGTTTGAAATGAAAGCTGAGCTTTTCATGTACTAACATGACTCCAACAGCTGGAGCATTAAGAACCACATCAAGTATTGTGAGGCTTGTGGTGAAATCATGAGAGCTGGCAACACTGAGAGTTATGTTTATGTACTGTGTGGGGTTAATCATTTTGCCTACTTTTGTTAAGGATTTGAGAGTTTGATTCTGACTCCAGTGACACTGGGCTCATGCAACACTTAAGAGAATAAAATACTGCAGGATCAAATAGGGTAGAGGGTGAAAGCTCAGAAAGCAGCTAAGAGTGGGGGCGAGGGGGAAGGGCAGAGATTATAAGAAAAAGTATAGTAATATATGCATACATTGTATATAAACCATCTACTTAAGCCAGTCTAGCAATGTTCTCCTGTTTCCTAATAGAGAACACAGGCTGCCCTTTAGCTGGGGAAACATGTTTAGTTTTTTGTTTTTTAATTAATTTCTCCTCTTGGGGAAGAGAGTCCAAGTTTAAGCTGTCAAAAAAACAAAGATTCATGACCTCCTGCTAGTGGTGCACACCCAAACTAAGTGGGGTAGGTTTGGAAAACTTCACACTCACTGAGCGTGGCCTGCCTCCAATCCTGGCACAGCTGAATGCAGTAAAGAACCACCCGCTCTCAGTGTTGAAATGAATACCTTTTGCGCCACTGGTGGTTTGAGGCTCGCTATGCTCAGATCAAATAGATGGGGAGATACAGAGTCTTCTAATCAACTTGCCCCATGTCTGCTATACTGCTACAAACTAGCTGAGAATTCCTTCAGGTCTTGTAGGGCAGAGCCAAGCATAGTAAGGGAGATGTTTGCAGAATGTGTATGATCTTCCACTAAGAAAGTCTTTTGTCATTGCACATGTTCTCCCCCACGCCTTCCTCATTGTCTTCTGTAACTGGAAATCCACACTGATGAAGTAGATTTTTACCCCAGATTTAATTGCACCATTTCTCCCAGATCCTTTTCCATTCCTAAAGCCTCTTCCTTCAAGAGGTGGTGCTGGGTGGTGGCAAAAATCTCTGCTCATCTCTCGGCCCAGAGGTACCTCTGCTTTTAATTGTAAGAAGCGCGGGGAGCATGTCCTAAGTCAAAGTTATTTTGGTTCACTCCAAGCCACGCTATTCTGTCTAGAGCACTCAGCAAGATGCCGTCTCTCCGCTCTAAACTTTAAGTTGCCCTCAGAGTTTATTGTGCTTAGCTCTTCTAGACAAGGAACTGTGCCCGTTTTATTTGTGTGAGAAGCCCCAAGCACTCCTATGATGTTTCGTGACATTCAGTAGTGCCTGAGCTCTTTGCACCAGCACTACAATGGGACGGCGATAATACGTTGTAGTAGCTTATTGTTCTGTAGCATTTTTCCCAGTGACCCCGATACTCTTTACTGGATATCTATGAGAATCATGAAAAAAATGCAGCCACTTCTGGGGTGGGGTATGGCGGTTCTTTCATAGCGCACAGTAACACTACAAAACAACAAGAACTGAGCATAGGATTGGGAAGAGGGAATGCCCTGTCTGGTGGCACCTCAGAAAATTACAAATGAAGTTACCAGCATATGAGCTGCTGTGTGCTGCTGACTTGTATCGGATAGCTCAGTGATGCACCAAACACTGGGATCAGTTGTAACCACCCAGGTGCTGGATGCCAGGCTTCCGTTCCTGTTCTAAATAAACAGCAGAGCATCTCCATCCCCATCAAGCAGTCGGGGCTTCCCCGCAGGGAGGAGCTGGAGATCTGTGCCTCAGTTAATGACGGTGCCTCTGATACTAGACGGCTGTGTTGGCGATCAGGATTAGAAATACCTCAGGGGGAGTTGTCGCCGGAGTTGCGCCGACTTGAAAACAAACCCCAGAGTGGGAGCTAAAATAAATGGCTTCATCTGGCACTGTCTCTCCCCTAGCCTCTTGTAGCAAATTGAAAGCTGGTTCCTGCATAATTCAGCACACATTACAGTGAACAAGGATGTGCGCTGCATCTCAATAGAGGCGGGAGGCTTGTTGAAATGTCCTGTTATTGTCAAGCGGCTTCTGTCAATGATGTGACATTTGTAGCAGGTTTAGCAGATGTATGAGATCAGTGGCTAAGCAGTGAGGAGGCTACAGGGTGGATAGAGAGGAGAGTCTGTTTTCCCCCGGGAGAGCTGTTGTGATGGAAAGGCAGACAAATTCAGTACCTAATAGATACAGCGTAAAATACAAGCTGGTTCCCGTTAGCCCAGTGCGTTGGGTCCTCGTGTTGAAGCCCCCACACCTTGGTGCATCTGCTCCCAGCACTGCCGCATGGAATTCTCTGGGAGGATGGAGCCAGCTGTGATTCCAGGGACTTTCTCTCAGGCCTTGTATGAACTAACCCCCTCCTACAGCCTCCCTGCCTATAACCAGATCCTTCCCACCGTAGACCCATTGGGCTACAGTGGCGTGCCTGCAATCCTTGCTCCGGCTGTGGCAATCCTCTCCCTGGGTCTGTGAGACTCTGTAATCTCCGGGAGCTGCCCAATCCTATGTAGACCAGGAAATCTAGGAGGGGGGACCTCAGCATTGCTCTCCAAGCAGACAGCAGGGGAGGAGAATAAGGGAATTAGCTCCATGCATGGCCCACCAGCAGCAGAGCCCAAACGATCCATTCTGAGGCAACTGAGAGTGGCTCAGACTGAATGTGGGCACACAAGTGAGACCCATGGTAGAGCAGGGCTCTGTGTAGGCTGTGAAGAGGTCTAAGGCCTCAACTGGCAGGAGCATGTTGGGAAGAGGCCACCCTGGGTTTCCCAGGGATTGAGAGGGAAATCAGAACAGGTGGCTATTTAGTGATGGTGGGTAGCTGCTAATCGTGATGCTGAGCAGTTTTTGTCATTTCACACGGCTCCCGGTTTCAAACGGTCTTGGTTTCCCGTGGCGCGAATTGCAAAACCCTCCCGTGACACTGAGCAGCATGGGGATAAGTTCATCATGGGGCTTCTCTTGAGGTCTGCACCCAGAGCACCTTCATGCCGGGTGTTCTTGGAGCAGCGCTCTGTCCCAGCTGTAGGTAGCTGATCACCTCCTGCAGTTTGGCCATTCGAGGTCTCTCTACTGACTCCTAGAACTCGGTAGCACGAAAAGGAGGAATTCTCTCTCTCCACTGCTATCCCCTTGTGTCACTGCCCTTCCATGCCTATCAGCTGACAACCCTGTGCCTAGGGCTTCTGCAGTCTAAGTCTCTCCTCAGACGGACCCCGGGCACTGAAGGGGAAAGCTTGTAACTGTGATCGGCCTTATCCCCGGTAGCTCTTATTTGGCATTTGAAGGGAAGGTTTTGAGTGATCGTTTTCTGGAAAATGCTTCCAAGTTCCTCTTTCTTCAGCAGGATCAGGTGCCTGACTGTCCTTTAATTCTCTCATGCGCTGGTGCTTTGCCCTTACCGTTTACTGCAAGGCCTGGGAATTGCTTGCCAGGAACGAGGAAGGTTTCCAAAGACTCTAAGTGGCTTGCTTTTTGGAGGCAGGCCGGGTGGCGATAACCTTAGCTGCTTCTCATGCTACAGTGATTAAAATGAGGCCAGTAAATGCCATAGCTGTTCCTGGAACAGCGATCGGAGGTATAATTAAAGCAGGTTGGATGGATTATCAGTCTGTGACAGGCCTATGTCTTCTCTCCGCCACCTGTAGCATGCGCTGGGCAGAATCTTGGCCTTGCTGACACTTGCTGTTGTCTCCCAGGGCCTGATCCCTCCAGCAGTAGCCCCCTCTGAGGAATTTTAAGCAGAGCCCTGAACTCTGAATGCAAACCGCACTGCTTTTAAAGAATCACCAACACCATGTCAAGGCAGCGAGGCCTCGCCGGTAACTCAGTCGCTGCTCTGTTTGGGAGGCCTTTTACTTATGGATCCCGGTAACCTACTCAAAAGCAAAGCAAAATGCAATGGCCTTTGCTGTGGTATGGAATTCTGGTAAAATACCAGTTTTAATGCATGCCCCAGTGTAGGCAAACTAATGCCCAATGGTCCCCCATCAGGCCATGGCTGGTGCCTTTTTAGAGCAGATACATAGTCTCCTATCAGAGTGTGCCCCTGTTAACTCTACCAGGCTCTACTCCTCCTGCAGTAGTTAACTCTACTCCTGGGTTCTAGTCCTAATTCCGCTCCTGTCTCGCTGAGTGAGCAAGTCCCTAAAGTCCAGATTTTCATTCTGGGGATGCTTCAATTTTTGGGTGCCCAGCTTGAAACACCATTTTTTTTTAATTATTCTCAAATGGAACACCCCAAATCTGTGGCCATTTTTGAAAACTGTAGCCGCTGGCCTCTCCTCTGAGTCTCCCACTAGTGAAACAAGGGTGGGTTGTAAGGCTCAAAGTCGTTGATGTGAGTATAACACTTGGGGACCTCAGGCGAATTGCTCGTATCACTGGCCCTGCTCGCCTCAGTCTGCAGACGGTTCTGAATGCGGCAGACCCTGAATTCAGCATTACCAAGGGAGACGGAATCAGAAGGTGCCAGATCCTGCACCAGGCTTGGCATAACCATGTCGGGGCTGTAGAGGGTAATCTGAATGTCTCCTGACCTCCCCTCCCAATCCTTGTAAGACCCAGCACTCCCTCTTTTCAGACTGGCATCTCCAAGGCAGAGTGACAACTCTCCAGGATCCTTCGCAGGACAGCACTTCTAGTCTAGGAAATAGTGCCCTGATACCTGGGTTCTCTCACGTCCTTTGCCTCGAGAGGAGCAAGAAGGGGGAAAACTCCTAAGCAGAGATTTCCAGCATCTTAGAGAGGGCATTATAACCAACTCCGCGCCCCCAGCCCTCTCTGCAGGGATCCGGTGAAGACACTTTGGAGCCTGATCTTGGAGCACTTGCCAAGTGCTTGTTATTTTTAAGTACTGAGGATTTGAGCTGTTGGCTACCTAGGCGAAAAGTTAATGTTTCCTTTTATGTGGCTGGAGAATAACCTAGGCAGGCACTTTGAGTAGCAGCACAGAGGTATCTTTAAAGAGGTTAAGAACAAGGACGTCTAGGTGGCAGAGAACGGGGGCTTTCTCAGAGCCAGATTAGGGAATGGGGAGGGGAAGGGGGGATATTTTTCAACATTTCAATCTTAGCTCCTTCAAAATTAGGATTTTCTCTGCTTTTCATCCAGCGTTTGCATGTTTAATGTGGTTTCTGGGTAAAATACAGTCAATGTGAAAACAAAAGGGAAGTATTTGGGTTAGTAACCTCAGAACCTCATTTTTATTTTATTTATTTTTACAACTCTTTCCTTCCCCCGGTCTCCCTTGCAGTGTCTTTACTTTCCCTTTCCAGACTCGTTCACTGGTCTCTGGAGTAGCCACTCGTCTCCCACACTGCCCACCGTTCTACCTTCTTGAGCGCCCTGTTTTAGGTCAACAATTCCCATCTTATCCACTGTGTGGTCTTTAAAACACCATCGTTCCCTTCTTAACAATCGTTCCCTTCCTGTCCCTGTCTGCCAGAATGTCCAGGGAAATACCACAGTGATGACAGGATATGTTACATCCTCCCTCACCAGTCTTTGGTCCCCTTACAATCATGGGCCAGGTCCCTCACTCCCCAGACGAAGCTTCTCATGGACCTTCAGGATTGCTGTCCGCGTGTGATCACTGTTACTCCCTCTGTCAGTGGTAAAAACAGGGCACCAGTTGTCGGATATCCAGTGTGAGCTGTATATTCGTATAGTGAAATCGGTGCAAGAGACTAACTACACCTGTGTTACATTTCTGCTCTACCTTCATTAATAGGCCTTCTCTATTATTCAGCTACATCACCGAGTGTACAACTATGTCAGTCATACACACAGCTTACATACACTTCTGTCCATTGACAGTGCCCTTGGTGCCGGGTACAAGCCCCAGAGGAAGACATCCCTGCTCCAAGGAGCTTATAGTTGAAGGGCTACATCTGGCCACCGTCACTCGTACTGGTCTGGATGCAATCCCCTTGCTCACATTGAGTAGAACCTTGCTCCATAAATAACCCCATTGATTTTGGTGGGACTAGTCGTGGTAGAAGTTACTTGTCAGCATGAATAAATGGATCTACCGAGTAGTGCCACCGAGGAGTGGTTTAATTTTCAAACAGGACTTGTTTCATAGTTTTAGAGAGTTTAAGGCCAGAAGGGACCATTAGATCCTCTAGTCTGGCCTCCTGTGTAGCACCCAGTTCCCCCTCTATTGAGCCCAAAGACTTTAGTTAGACCAATGCAATGCAGTCCTCAGGAGACTGAACTGTGCGCCACGGGCAGAGAACAGGAGACACCGAGGTGCCCCCAAGCCCTGAGGAATTAAGTGAGACATGCCCAGATGACCCAGCAGGCAATTCACACGGCACACTGCAGAGGAAGGTGAAACGCCCCACGGTCCCCGCCCATCTGAACTAGGGAGGGAATTCGTCCCTGATCCCAAATCTGGCCATTAGCATGAGGTGAGCATGTGAGCAAGACACGGCAGCCAGGCACCTAGAAAGAGGATTTTCTGTACCGTCTCAGAGCACTGGGCCACCTAGCTGGGGTCCCACCTCCAGCTGTGGCCAATCTCTGATGCTTCAGAGAACGGTGGGAAAAAAAACATCACCAGCAAACGTCTGGCCAGATGTGAATCAGGGGGAAATTTTCCTTCCTGATCCCTGCATGCGGTTAGTAAGGGTGGCAGAATCTGTCACTAAACAGAAAGCCAGCACCATAGTATGTCCTATTTATAGGCTTCACCAGAATAGTACGATTTTCCCATGAGATCCAAAGGTAATGTAATTACCCATTCTGGTTTTGTACACGCTGTTTTAAAGACATCGAGGGACACAGTTATGCTTAATAAAAGGTGCGTCCTCTAAATGGAGCCGTACGGTGCAGTATATGTATAGACATATATATATATATATATATAGAGAGAGAGAGAGAGAGGTATGGTAGTGTGCGGGTGTATATAGATAGACATATACGTTCAGAGATGTAAAATAAATAGTTGATGACTTATTTTTTTTCTTACTTTTTCCAGAGGGTTGGATAGTCTCATCCGATTTGTAATCACAATCCCACTTGAGCTGTTAGCAGTTCCTCTAAACAGGGATTTGGTCTGTTTAGGCTGCCTGTCCAACTAACGAGCAGATGGTTTTTGTTATTGGGTAGTATTTCAAAGGGAAGAGGTTTTCTCTTGCTTTAGTGCCCCCATTGTTGTGTTTTATTGAATTATGACATTCTGACGCTCGGAGAACACATGAACTGTTCCACCCCCTGCAGGAGGAATCTGGGAGAGGGGTTTTTTCTTTCCTCTTTTTGTCAGCTTGGATTGCAATGATTACGAAACCCAAGAAGCACTGGCTAGAGTCGGGTACTGAGAGGTAGCATGATCTCTCTAGTGGATAGGGCACGGTGCTGGACATCAGGACACTTACGTTCTGCTCCCGACTATGCTGCTGGCTTGCTTTGCACAAGTCACGGCGCCTTTCTCTTCCTCATCTTTCCCTCCCACCCTTTGTCTGCCTCGTCTGTTTAGACTGAGATCTCTTCAGGTCAATGCCTGTCTCTCACTAGGTATAGGTACGGCGCCTGAGATACTGGGGCCGTGATCTCCGTTGGCGCCTTGTGGTGTTACTGTAATACAGATAATACGTACGAAGATGTGAGAGGCTTTGTGAGCGTCCTCCACACAGCCACACCTGAGCTTTCAGAATTTGATAGATTGCTGTAAAGGGTTCTCTTAGGCTCAGCCCCCTTTACATGACAGAGCCAGTTTGGCTGGTCTTTAGAGGCTCTGGCAATATTTTTATAGGTAAGATCTTGCCAGGTTAGCCACTCCTCCTCCTAACTTCCAGTGTGCAATGGGATATCAGTACTGCAGATGGAATCTACATCACTAGTGGCCAGAGATTAATCCATTAACCCTCAGTGTTGGAAGTCCTGACCTTTTGTGTGTGCGTGTGGTCACCTTCCATTTTTCAACTGGCCAAAATTGTGCATTGACTGAAATTTCCTCCTTTAAAGGCAAACGCTAAACTTCAACCGTTGCTACCCCCACAGGCTGGCACTGTACTGTTGTAGTGAAATCCCTAGCCAGGGCTGATACTTAGCCAGACCCACGGGCCTTAACCTTGAGTCGTTCTACTTCAGTGTAGTGATTGTGTGAGAGAGCTGATCTTGCTTCTTGGGTCCCTCAGACCGAAAGGATCCATCCCAGCTGCTTGTCTGATCCCTCCTCTTTGTCCTGCGCTACATTGTTGTGCCTCATTTTAAGTCTTCTTTTCTTTGCAGCCCAATGACCCGGTAACCAACATATGCCAAGCGGCAGATAAACAGCTCTTCACCTTGGTGGAATGGGCAAAGCGAATTCCCCATTTTTCAGAACTGCCGTTGGATGACCAGGTCATCTTACTCAGAGCAGGTAAGAGGGATATCTTAGTGAGGGGACATAGGAGGAAGATCTCAACAGGGCTGGTTGGTGTAGGTGGGATGCTCTGCTGAGGACAAATGTTATATTTATAGTTAGTACACTACAACCTGAAGGCTACTAGTCACGTCTGCCTTTTAGTTGCTGATAATTTATTTGCCAAGAAGGATTTTAAAAGCCCTAAGAAACACGTCACTGGACCTGCTCCAAAGTGTAGAGCCCGCTTCTAGTCAGCCCGAGAATCACTCCAGTTCATCTTTTCTGAGAGGCAAGCGTATCAGAAGTTGGATGGGTTGCTGAAATTTGAAGGAATCATGTAATATCTTCCTCTCACACAGAGACTTGAAAGAGAACTGGATTTGGGGCTTTGCCAGATTTCGCAAAAATAAAATGTGTGATCAAAATTAAAAACAGAAATGCGGGGGAGAATCACCCGTCCTTTCCCACCCACAAAGATAAAAATACAATTCTCCAGGCTCATTCTGAAGTGCCTGTCTCTGCAGAGGAACTACTGGGGGCGGGCTAAAAGCAGTGAGCTGTTAAAAAATACCTTCTCCTCCTGTGCAGATTTCAGACCAAATGCTGGAAGGTATGCACAGAAAATAGAAGGGGTGAGAATCCAAAGCTAAAACTTGACAGGCACGGGTTTGGGCATGAAACTGTTTGCATAGCTCTGATTGTCAGATAAGGTAAATATAGCTGATTAAAAAGGTTTTGGCTTGTCATCACAGAATATTTTGCCTGCATATTCAAAGTGGATGGATACATTATCTTATTAAAATTGCCTCCAGCAAATGGCAAAGTTGATATTAAGGAAGAAATGGGGGGGGAAAATTACCCTGAAACCCAACCATAACTCATAGCTCCGTACTTCACAATGAAAAAGTGTTACTGTGTAGAAAGTCAGAAATCAAGGCTCTGTTTGGTGCACGGGTGAGTTACAGCACTGCATGAGCTGTTGTTAATGGTTAAGGCACTGGACTGAGACACTGGAGATCTGGGTTCAGTTTCTGGCTCTGTTGCAAACTTCCTGTGTGACCTTAGGCAAGTCACGTAGGCTCAGATCGTCAAAGGTATTTAGGTGCCAAATTCCCATTGAAATCAGTCTCTGTGCCTCGGTTGCCCATCTGTAAAATGGAGATAATAATACTTCCTTTATCAAAGGGGTAGCCGTGTTAGTCTGGATCTGTAAAAGCAGCAAAGAGTCCTGTGGCACCCTATAGACTAACAGACGTATTGGAGCATGAGCTTTCGTGGGTGAATATCCACATCCGAAGAAGTGGGTATTCACC